AAAAACTCGCCATCATGAAGTGTGTAGCTCGTTCTTATACTTTACAGAATTCCTCCATTGAAATAATATGAAAAATTAGCAAGAAGCTTTTAAAACATATTTTTTTAGAACAAAATTTGTGGACCCTACTTGAGAAAACGGCCTAATTTTTAGGGGAAATGTACAAAACCCGATCTTTAAGACAAAACGAAGTACAGTAAAGATGATGAGTTGCACATTCTTATTAAATTTAATTCCCTTGTGTGTGGGTATCGAACTTTAGACACACTCAAATATTCGTTACCATTCCCGCAAAATAGCTTTTAACAATTTCCTAGGGCACATTACTGGTGGTAACCAACGCACTGAGGCGTTCCACTAGAACGTAACATACTTTTAATTAACGTACTGCGCTCATTCACACACACACACACAATGCCACCACTACCACATTTACAAGTAAATACAAATATGGTACATCACCAGCGGCAAGTTAGAACACAAAATGCCATTACTCAGCAGCAGCTGCAGCAACAGGATTTTTACACCATCGCGTCGGCCTGACGACATTCAATAACGTCCACACGCGCGCCTACTACGCCCCTGTCAACACCAATGTGCCACAACATCGCCAAACATGACACGCCGAACTTTTGCGCATTTGCCACAACACTTACGGGGCGGCTGTGGCACAGAGAGGGTGTTTTGGCGCTCGCCTTAGGGCGGCGTTATTTCTCATTACAGAAATCTCTAAAATTAGTAGAGCAATATTCCCTGTTTTTTTGTTGTTGTTTTGTGCAATACATACATTTGTGTGGTGCTTGCAACAGCAGCGAATACACAAACACAACTGCACAGAAATTCGATAGCAAAAGTAGCGTGTATTGCAAAAAGAAAGTATATAAATAAATAAAAAAAACAAACGTTAGTTGCACAAAAGTTTCACTCAACCCACGGCTGCTACGGCGCTGCAGCGATCGCCATGTTAAGTGATAAGTTTAAAATGCCATCGGCCAACGTCATTGCCGCAGATGTGTACTGCTGCTGCTGTTGCTTAGCTATTTAAAGCCTTACAAAGGCGCAACAAAGTTGCCATTAAAAAAAAAACGACAACACGAACTCGGAACGGCCGGAAATGTTGTTGCGCAACATACGCTAATGATGCTCATTTGCTGCTGCTTTATGTTACACAAAGTGAGGCGACACAAAAATGGAAGCAAAAAAATATGTAACTAATAAAAAGTTTTTATTTTTATTTTTTTTTTAGTTCTATTTTTGTTTCGCATCGTTTGATGGTGGGATTTTATGAGCTGTGCGCGGCATATGTACGTACAGTCATTATAATTGTTGTTGTTATGTTGTGCCCTTCTCCTTTTCTGATGTTAATGGCGTTGCTGCGCGTGTTAGTTGTGGCTTCACTTTGCGTGTCATCAAGCTTCAGTAGTCGATGTTCTCAACTAATCAATCAATACTTGTAATTATTTAGTTAATATCTGTATTCATTTCCTTTGCAAGGGGCATGGACAATTGGCAAGCCTTTTTGCCAAGAAGCGATCAAATTAAAACACGATAGTTTAACCAAGATGTGTATTTCGCGAAACGGATTCTCTTTAATAACCTTTACAGCCTTCAAGGACAGACCTTTTATACAAAATAAAATTAGCTTAAAGAACTGTTATCAGAAATTAATAAGCAATAGATACATATCATCGTATATATTTACAAGTATGGAATCCTATGCCCCTTTTGTCTATTCTCTTTCTAACAACGGACGTGCCTGCCAAACAGCGGACGTGCCTGCCAAACTGAAAAGCATGATGGCGGCAGTGTTTGACAGGCACGTTAGACGATGCGAACAGCAATGGAAGGTAAGAAATGGAAGATGGATGACATGAGAATGAAATAATTATGAAATAGCAGAATGTCGAAGCAAAAACGAATTTGAGAAATGTGACAAAGCGAATGACGTTAAATGAAAGAAATGTAAAATAGCGAAATGTCGAAATAGAAGAAATAGATGACAGGCTCGTATTCAAGGGTTTCGTGAAACAAAAAGTGTTGCTGTGTTGCGCCATAAAATATTTAAATACTTTTTTAATGTAGTTAAATTGAATCATACGCTTTTTTAATAAGTTGGCAAAAGTACATATTTCGCCAGCCAAAATATATATATGTACCTATGTATGTATATAGCGCGACGCTGCAAGATTCATTTATAAATACGGTATATGCTAATGACGTTATTCATAAAAAATAAAATAGATTTAAATAGCTCTGTACAGTGACACTTTTATAAAAAAATCGATTTCTTAATTTTTTATGAATTTGGGTAAAATATTTAAATTCACATTTTTAGTGCATTTTTTTCCTATTTATTACTTTTAAAAATTTTATTTTCTTTAATAACCGTTTCACTGAGTTATACCACCCATCAAAAATCAAACTATTTTATAAGAAATGTATTGACCTTTTTACAACGGCATTTAAAGAATTTTTTGCTCAGATTGAAAAATTGCCTGCTTCTCACACTTCTGTGGTGCTTTTTATTGTAGTTATTATTCTGTTGACATCTAAATTTCCCTACATAGATTTTATGTGATTGCCGATAGATTGATTACCGGCATTTCCTCTGTGAACTTTTTTTAACTACATTCATAAAAAAATTACTAATTTTGGTTTCTTTTTTCATCTTGAACTGGTACATATGTTTGTATGTAAAATGCATTTAAAAACGTCATTTGCCCAATATGCACGATGCAGCGAACAAAGGTGGCACCGTCAGACATACCCCTACTTTGAATTTGTCGATTTTGATAATTCTGATCTAAAAGTAAACGACGTATCAGAAACTTTAAATGTACTGAAATTCACTTATACTTCCAGAAAAATCACCGCTTTTTCACATTTTCCTTATTAATTGTCATTGTAACTCATATATTTTTAGAATTCAGCGCAATTAAAACACGCTTACTATCGAAAAATTTATTATTGAGAAAATTGGCTGGTCTGATATTTTCTTTTAACATGCAATTCGCCTTTGTTTACTTTTTGTACAGAAATGCCATCGCCACTATGACGGGGCAATCTTGTACTCTTTCTTGTCAAATATGCATTTTGATGTAACTGCTATGAAGCTATGAATACTCATTAAAATCGTTTCAGTTCGTAATAAACGTACATTACATACTTGTAGTCTAAATCATGATAAAAACATAGCAAGGTATAACCGTTCTCTCAATTTGTCGGCCATGATTTTTTTTTGAAGTTTGAAAACATTTTAAAATCATATAAATGTGAAAATAAAAAAATGAAATTGTTCGAAATTGTTGTTGCTTGAGATGGAAAATGAAAATGTGTGTGTGAGTTTGTGAGTAAATTTAAAAATTAAATTGTTTGGAAACGTCAAGAATTTTAAAAGTGACTCTCAACGGTTCTACCTTACTATATTTTTATCATGGTCTAAATATATTTTTTAATATGAACTAGCTTTTTTAATTCTAGAAAATATCAATAATCACAAGAATTATAAAAATTTCTCTTCAAAAGATACGTTTCAAAGCATCCCTGTTGATGTCATAATTCAAATAAAAATTTGAATAGAAATTTTGATGCAAACGATTTTCCTCGATATTCATCATAGAAATTTCTTTAATCTTTATTTTCTTCCACGTAAATTTGCTCATTACTTTAAATGGCTTTCATCTTTTTATTTTTGTAAAAAATAATATAAACATGTTGCTCTTGCCAGCTGCAATAGCTTCAATACACTAACAAAAGTGTGAATACCCAGTGCCCAGCTTAGAACAGGAATCCTAGCATTTTGCCTCCCAAATGTTACCGTCTGGCCTCCTCAAGATCCATAATGCCTCCGGAGTTAGTCAACACAACGTAACCAAATTGACGAGAAGGCAGCAAGTTGTTGGTCCACTTCCAACCATTTCAACCAATTTATGCGATTTAATGGGCCTCATGCATAAAAAATGAGTCTAAGGTCAGACTCAATTTTTGCACTAAAGGGGTGAGCTTAAGCTCAAGAATTTGTACTGAAAATCGAGTTGGAGCTTAAACTCACATTTAATGCATGAGGTCCAATATCTTCACTGCTACCTTGTGTTGCGTCCAGTAAATAGTGGCCAATTTTTACGAGTGCCTGTGGGCCTCTGCCAGTAGCTGCAGCTGCGGCGGCACGTGATTGTGGCATAACGTTGATGTAAGCGTAAAATAAGAAAAGGTTTGGTAAGGTTTTTCGGGCCGCTGCTTAGGCCACAATCGCAAATGCACCCACACATGCGTACGTGCTGCGTAGAGACGTAAATTATAGTTTTCCCCGAGCTCCAGTTTCTTATCGCACTATTATTTCCCTTATTACTTATAATTCTCTGCCACGATTTACGCTGCTCGGGCCACGGTTGCTTTTACAAGAAAATAAACCATTTGTTTAAACGATGCTCATCTTACTTGTCCGTATATCGCTCTGGAAAGAAATATATATTAAATTATATGTTTTCTTAAAAATAAATGCAAATTTACCTAATTTTTCCACCGGCAGGCACGAATATGATGTTCAAAACAAAAGCAATGACAACGAATTTCACACACATTGATGTATTTTAGCGCAAACGATAAGTTTCACAAATATTTTAAATTATTGCCTGGAACATACACATTTATCGTTATTATTGGAAATGCAAGACTTGGCACGCATTTTTAATTTCTTTTTTATTGAATTCAAATGAATAAAAACACATTTTTCTAAAATATTTCTCAATTTACATTTTAAAGTTTTTTCTGAAACTTGAATGTAACTCTGTGCGGAGAATGAGAGAATTGAAAATCAGGTGATCTCAGCTGTTTTCAAATGTAAACAAACAAAATGGCGCTTTCCATACTTGTAAGCCTATACAATGATACATATGAACATGACAGCAAATGGTTAAAATAAACAAATTACGAATATGAGTGACAAGACGAAATACAGTGGAGGGCATATTTGAATTACTTGAAATTATATGACTTATAATTTAAGAATTTTGGTGCTTCTCCAAACATCCTCCCCCCGTTGGAAGCGGCAGGCTTTCAACTACATCAGGGTTCATGGGCAGGACACACAACTTGTTGATAGCGCGCCTGGTAGTGCCACTAGCGGTGCGAAGAACAGCCACTCGCGCAACTTCATCGCTGCCCTTGATGGTTTCAATCACCCTGGCCAGCGGCCACTTCAGCGGAGGCAAATTCTCATCCTTAACAAGCACCATGGTTCCGATTTCAATATTCGGCTTTCGGGAGCGCCATTTGCTACGTTGCTGCAGAAGCGTGAGATACTCCGCAGACCACTTTTTCCAGAAGATTTGCTGCATATAGCAAACCCGCTGCCACCTGTCCAAGCGGTTAATATTAAGCACTGAAACGTCTGGCTCAATCAACGCGGTGAATGCTGACCCGATCAGAAAGTGGGCCGGAGTTAGTACGTCGAGGTCTTCAGGATTTTCTGTAAGAGGACAGAGAGGGCGAGAGTTCATTACTGCAGAAATTTCAACCACCAGTGTTCTTAATTCATCGAAGTTTAAAACCGAAAGTCCAACAACACGCCAAAAATGAAATTTTGCAGTTTTCACGGATGCCTCCCAAAGGCCGCCAAAATGCGGAGACCTAGGAGGTATAAAGCGAAAATCGATACCATCGTCAAGGCACTGCTGATGGATTGCTAGGCGATTTTGATCGTTAAAAAATAGTTGCTTTAGCTCTGCCAATTCATTTTTTGCACCAACGGCTATAAACGATGGTGTTGACAAATCACTAACCAACTCGAGGTGCACAGCCTTTGTGCTAAAACAAACAAACAGGCAGATGTAGCATTTAATAGCAGGTTTATTGCGTACTTCAGATCGATACAAAAACGGGCCACAAAAATCCATGCCAGTTACTAAGAATGCTCGGTTTGCCTGCACACGATCGGCCGGCAAGTTGCCCATAAGATGTCCTGCTGTTTTTGGCTTAACTCGAAAGCATCGTATGCACTTGTTGATCACCTTAGCTACAGCCTTCCTTCCACCTATTGGCCAGTACTGGAGACGAATCGACGCTAAAACGGCTTGTGGTCCACCATGCAACATTTTACGATGAAAATGATCAATCAAGGCTTCGGTCAATTCATGCCCTTTTGGCAATATGATTGGATGCTTTGATTCAAAGTTTAATGACGAATTTTCAAGTCGCCCGCCCACGCGCATCAAGCCGTCGTCGTCTATAAACGGCATTAGTGAATATAAATCGCTAGACGCGGCTATCTCCTTGCTTGTTACTAAAGCCTTATAGTCGGAAGCCAAGTGCACTCGCTGAATCATTCTTAACAAAAGCTTTGTGCCTAAGCTAATGTCTTCAGTAGTTAGCATTCCAAATTTTCGATCATCCTTGCACCCTATGGCTCTTGCAAATCGGTTGACGTAGGCATATATACGCTGCATTTTCGGGAATGAATTCACAAACTTGCAGTTCTGTGAAAAATCAATACTTTTTGTTGTTGATAACATTGCAAACTGACGACGCTCGGGTAGGTCATGAACAGGTGCGAAGTCCGCGGGCCACTCATTGCGACTGAGCTGCAGAAAGTGAGGCCCATACATCCATAGTGGCGAATTTAACAATTCCAAAGGCGAAGCTCCCCGCGACAGAATGTCTGCCGGGTTCATACTAGTTGGCACGTACCGCCACGACATGTGCTTGGTGAGAGTTTGAATGCTGCTCACCCGATTTGAAACGAACATTTTGTAGTTTGAAGGTTCTCCGCTGATCCACGACAGAACGACTGTGGAATCCGACCAACAATAAAATTCGCTGCCGAAGATGTTTAGTTGAGCCACTGAGTTGATGAGCGTTGCCAACAACGACGCAGCGCAAAGTTCTAGCTTTGGCACTGTAAGTGTTTTTAATGGAGATACTCGAGATTTGGAACAAAGCAAATTTGTTTTTATTTTACCGCAACTCTCAGATCGTATATAAATGCATGCTCCATATGCTGATAGGCTTGCATCGCAGAATGCATGTACTTGCAAACGAGCTTCAGGCGAAAGAGAATATCTGTCAAAACGAAGTTTATCTATATGCTGAAAGCCTTCGCATATAATAAGCCAATCATTTTGTAAGCTCTGCGGTAAGCTCTCATCCCAATGAACCTTTTCTTTCCACAAACGTTGAAGCAAAATTTTTGCCTTTGCTATAACAGGCCCAATTAAACCCAGCGGATCATAAAATCGTGCTATAACTGAAAGTACACTTCGTTTCGTGATTCTCTTACATGTTGATGAGGCTGGGTTGAAACAGAAGAGAAAACAATCAGTTCTCGTATCCCAGATAAGTCTTCGCTTCCATCGTTAAACTTCAAAAATGTTTGCCTCTCGTTTTCTGATATTTTGCATAAGACATCCGGATCGTTTGTACACCACTTACGTAAAATAAAATTACCTTTGGCCAATAGGTCACAGGTCTGACTCTTAATTTCGAGTACCTCTTCGACAGAGTTGCCACCAGAAATCATATCGTCAACATAAAAGTCCCTGCGAACGATTATAGCACCTATAGGGTAATTGCACTGTTCGTCGATTGCAAGCTGGTGCATCGCTCGAATGGCCAAGAAAGAAGCTGGTTTCGTACCATACGTGACTGTATCTAATTTGTAGATTTTAATCTCATCTTCTGGGGAATCTCTCCACAGTATGCACTGCAAATATGCATCGGGATCTGGAACGCGTACGCAGCGATACATCTTGCATATGTCGCTTGTGAGCGCAATCCTAAACGAACGAAAACGTATTAATGTGTCGAACAATTTTGCCTGTATCGTTGGCCCTGCCATGAGAATATCGTTTAAGGAATATCCAGTAGAAGATGCCGAACCATCGAACACCACTCGCAACTTTGTGGTTGTGCTGTCTTCTTTTAGCACACAGTGGTGGGGCAGAAAGTACATTGGAGTTTTGCCTGTTATGCTACTGACTGGCGACATATGTTTAAGAGCTATATATTCTTTCATAAATGCTACGTACTGCTCTCGAAGCGATTCGTTGCGTTTGAGTTTTTTCTCTAACCCCTTCAGCCGTTGAAGAGCAGTGTGATATGAATCACCAAGTTGACTGGGATCGATTTTTGTAGGAAGATGAACCGAATATTCACCTGATTTCAAGCGAGTGACATTTTGAGCGAAGTGAGCTTCACATTCGAGTTCTTCGTGAGTGGCATGAGGCTTGAGCTGAAACGAATTTTCAACTGCCCAGAACAGCTCTACGAGATTATGAAGTGCGTCGGAGTCGTCCACCCAATTTTCCTCTAAGGATGCTAAACAGCTGAGACGTTTTCTTACAAATCGGCCACCACCAGATACTACCCAGCCCAGGCGAGTTTTTTGCAGTAAGGGAAGGTGCTCATGCATGCGAATTTGTCCGACACAGAGTAAATCAAAAAAGAGGCCAGCGCCTATAAGAAGATCTATGCGCTGCGATTCAAAGAACAATGGATCTGCTAGCGATATATTTGATGGGATGCTCCAGTCGATATTGTTAAGCGAGTATCCAGGTTGACAATCAGTGATCTTTGGTGTTACGACGGCAGATAAAGAGGATGCATAATCACCAATACGAGAGTGTATGCGAAGATCAACTCTATGATCTGACACAAGCTCAGACTGACCGATGCCAGAAATTAGCGTTGTGGCTTTAGACTTTTTTAACTGAAGCTGGTGAACAAAGCGAGAAGTAATAAAGTTTAGCTGGGATGCCGAATCTAAGAGTGCTCTGCATGGTACGAGGCAGCCAGCTTTATTTGTTATGAGTACAATAGCTGTAGCGATAAGAACAAAGTTATGAGGCGACGTTTCTGCACTTTGAGCGGAAATTGAGGGAAGTGATGATGCCGATATGAGGCTCGACTGTGCCGGAGTGTTGGATGTCAACGTTTTATGTGCGGAGCTATCTACCGCAGGCGACGATGCGTTTAAATCGAGCGAGGTGGACTGAGAGCTTGCGCTCAAATGCAATAAAGTGTTGTGCTTGGATGAGCATTTTCGACAGCTACCCGCTGTGCAAGACTTCATCAAATGACCTCTGTGTAAACAATTAAGACATAACTGCAGTTTTTTCGCTTCTTTATATCTAAGTGCAGGGGACAAACTGAGAAACTTTGTACACTGCTGTATTAAGTGCTGCTGGGAGTCGCAAAAGGAACAGGTTTTGGTGGACACAACAAATGTTTTTCGATGATTTTTATTGTTTAAAGCAAATTTCTTTCCCACCTGATGGCCTGGTGTTTGCGTTACCAAGGCGACTTCCACACTCTCCAACCGCTGACATCTCTTCTCTAGAAATCTTGCCATTGAATCCCAGGTTGGTATGATGTTAGTTGGTGTTTCTTCTTCCCATTTAGTCTGCGATGATATGTCGAGCTTACTGCAGATGAGGTGGATAAGCATTAGACTGGGTCGGTCCCCATACAAAAAAAAAAAGTTGCTAATGTCCGCCCCTAAATTTAAAGATTATGTTGAGAGGGTTCTGGAAAAAATTTTTTTTTTTTTTTTTAACCCTCCGAAATACAGCCGAAATGGTTTTTTCGTTGTAACTTGGTT